GGGGCGGCCGGCGGGCTCGGGCGGCTGACGAGGCCGGCCGGCCGGCGGGGGCGGGGCGGGGACCCGGGGCTGCGCGTTCCCGGCGCGCGTCGCCTCCGTTAGCCCGGGCTCGGCCGAGGCCGCGAGCGCGCCTTCGCGCTCGTGCAGGGTTTTTCCGGCGTGCGAGCGACGCCTCGAAGGCTCTCGCAGCCCTCCGGATGTCGTCCCGAGCCGTGTTATGGACAGGGCCCGCGGGGATAGACTGGAAACGCCTAGGAGGAAGACGGGTCTCCGACCTCGCTGTCGTTGCTAGGAGGGAAGCAGGACGGCTGCGTGTTGGCGTCCGACCAGGATGCCAGGGAGGACTTTTAGACCTCGTTTCCAAGAACCAACCTTTAAGCGTCTGTGGGTTCTAGAGGAGGCGCTTGGTATTGTCAAGATGAACCCCCATCTTTCAACACACAGTAATAATGAGACGATAGCGTACACGTTACTCTAATGGTTAATGGGAGCTGATACCGGCTTTCCCCCACAGCTGTCAGGGCTCGTTCTTGGTGGGTGCAGCAAACAAGAATCAAGGCTGAAAAATCCTCTCTTGAAAGAAGAAAGCCGAATGCGATAGATAGAATTAACGTTACGGATGGTGATTATTAACAATGCTAACGGCCCACAGAATGTGACATTATTTTTTAGGCAGCTAAATTCGTTATTACAAGTTTTATGTTAGGTTTTGGAAGAATTCCTGACTGTATGCAGATGATAGCTAAGAAGTCAGATCCACTGGTAAATTATGCAAATTATCCATAGCAAAACAATTACGGAAACAAATTTTGAAATGTTCTCTCAGGTTTTGGGGAGAGTGCTACTGTTCATGTTTAATAATGTTTGCTAGAGAGTAAGGCTTGTATGCTGTTTTCTCCGTGGGAAGAGGATAGAATATATCCTAAACAACGACTTGGTTGATTGAAATTTCATGCATCCTCAGAATGTAGGAATTGATCAGGAAATGGTGACAGGGACATGCATTCGACTTGCCACCCCCCCTTCCCTATGCTTTATTAAGATGGCCCAGGGAATCTTCAAATATACAGACTAGTTAAAAATGGCACACATCGAAAATACCGTTTCAACTGCTGGATATTGAAAAAATAAAAACATGAGTCTTATTCCTTATCTAAGAACAGTAAATGGCAAAGATCGTGCTCGACAGTTCAGAATTTGTGCTCCTATTCCAGGAGACGAGATACTACGATGTGTAAGAAGTTCCCACAGTGGTTTATACTTCCTTTTAGGAATGTTTTTCCAGCCTGTATATAGTAGCAGAGGAGAAAGCTGTCCGTGTAAAGAATAAACACTAACACGAAGATTGGTTAGGTCTTAATGAAAAAAAAAAATGATGATCAAGGTCTGACATACCTTATGTGGTGGAATAGTAAAAATAAATTGAAACATTCTTCTTCAGCTTTTTCTGATCCCTCTAGCCTCTCCCACCAAGTCTTTGATATAGAAAAGCATAGTGGCAATAAATATAAAGGTTCCCCATCCTGTACACTGAATTAAGCAATAAAATAAAGTCCTTAACTCCTTTATCACTTGTCCATAATCCAGGCTGTCAGAATGTAGTCTATTTGTTGGACTAAAAAAAGTAGAAGTTTACTTCAGGATATAGACATATGTCCAATTTTTTTTCTATAAGACACAAAATTGCTAGTAAAAGTATGAGTATAATTGCATCACTATTTTTTTTTTTTTTTTTTTTTTGGTTTTTCGAGACAGGGTTTCTCTGTATAGTCCTGGCTGTCCTGGAACTCACTCTGTAGACCAGGCTGGCCTCGAACTCAGAAATTCGCCTGCCTCTGCCTCCCAAGTGCTGGGATTAAAGGCATGCGCCACCACCGCCCGGCATTGCATCACTATTTTAATTGAACTGTTAAGTGTCTTCATTATGAAAAGGTAAAGCATACTCAGTGAGACTAGTAACCAGAACTGATTCCCAATCAGTATGTTAAGATTCTTCTTAGTGTGGGGTAAGGTAGTTCTTTAATACACAGGAGAATGGGAGGGGGCCTTTTATTTTTTTACAGTAAAGTCAGAGAACTGAATTGTGTCTTCTTAGGTTTCCTCTTACTCGCCCCAGTCTTTGTAAACAGTGGGAGGCAGCTGTTAAAAGAAAAAACTTCAAGCCCACTAAGTACAGCAGTATCTGTTCTGAGCACTTTACTCCAGACTGCTTTAAGAGAGAGTGCAACAACAAGTTATTGAAGGAGAACGCTGTGCCCACAATATTTCTCTATATCGAGCCACATGAGAAGGTAATTTGGGTTTGTAATGCTAGATTGGTGTTTTTTCCTTTCCCAGTCCGTTCTGTTTTCTTTCCTGCACTCCATTCTCTTCCCCTCCCATCCCTTGTGTGAGGCAGAGTCTTAAGTAGTCCCAGCTGGCTTTGAGTTTGCTCTATAGCTGATGCTGAATTGGAACTCCTGATCCTCTTGCCTCTACCTTCCAAATTCTACTGTCATGAGCATTGGCTTTGGGTGAATGCTGCTTTAATTTATGAAGCTAATGTGTTTATGGGTGAATCAGGGAAGGGTTAAGAAAACAAGTGTATCTGAAACCTATCATTTGGCAGTAACTTCTTTGGGGGCTTAGTGGTTAAGAGTATGTAGTGCTCTTCCAGAGGACCTGACTTTGCTTCCCAACACCCACGTCAAGCGGTCTCCTCATACCCTCTCATCCCCCTATGTCAGTCTCAGTCTCTCTCTCTCTCTCTCTCTCTCTCTCTCTCTCTCTCTCTCTCTCT